TCTTCTAGAAGCACGGGGTTCACAAATACCAGCAGGTGTAAACTACTTTGGGAATCTAGCCTGACCTTTGTTACACGTCCTTCTGGTGAAGTCCTTTGATTGCTGTCAGTCTATGGCCCCACAGCCGCAGTGCGGTGCCTCTCTGCCTGAGCCAGCTTTTCTCTTTTAATGACTCTTTTTTGTATTACCTGACTGTGAAGAGGTGACAAACTAATACGAGCCTCTGCAGTGTACACACAGCATGGTACACCGCATCATTCGTCGAACAATGAGCATTCTGAATGCTAAAATAAAATGCCCAGAGCATTTCTAAATATATCTCTTTTATTCTGTAGGTACAGAACAACAGCTAATGGTTGGCGGACCAGTTTCTTCTTCTGCCCTTGCTCAAGACGTCAGGCCAAAGGACAAAGCCGTTAGTGCCAGCATGTTCCACAGGTTCCAGCAGGAGCTGCCCTCCTCCGAGCTTCTGAGCTCCAAATTGAGACACGTTAAGGTTCAAGCAGCTTTGCAGCCCTTGACTGAACCTGCGAAGACTGAACCACAGAGCAGCTACTTCATGGACAAAGGAACTCAGACAAAGAAGTCCAGCAAAAGCGGGCAGTCAAGGCACAAAACTCTGCACCACACCGCCGGGGCACACCAGAGCCAGGAGCAGCAGCCCTCTGCCCTGCCTGCGGGCCAGCCACCTGCCCCTCCGCTCCGAGACACCTCCCAGGCCCTGGAGATAACACAGTACTTCTTTGAGGCTGTTTCCACACAGATGGAGAAGTGGTATGAACGGAAGATAGAAGAAGCCCGGTGCCAAGCTAATCAGAAAGCGCAGCAAGACAAAGCTGCGCTCAAGGAGCATATCAAAAGCTTGGAAGAGGAGCTCAGCAAACTAAGGACTAAGGTGCAGAAAGAGAGCTAGTATCCACCAAGCAGGTAAAGACAAGCAATGGGACTCATTTTGACTGCTGAACAGGAATCTGGGACATTTTTAGATAGATGTATTTGTAGTGCCTGTTACATCCAAATAAAATGCTCTTTTTCAGGAGTAAAACTAACTTGGGAAACTCCAGAACTGAGAAGCATTCATATGCAGACTGTACTGATGACGACAAGATGCTGCAGATTAGATCCTTTCTCTGTTATTTCCAAGAGTCCGTTGTTCAATATTGCACTCTCAATTTCCAGGTGCTGCCTGAAAACAAACTGCATTAGAAACCAAAACTGCTTTCTGAAAAGGGGATTTCCCTATTCCCACTTAGGTCATGTGTGTCTGTAGGGTTCCACTGTACGCTACATGTGAACATGTCATGATATCAATACTGAAATAAATCCAGGATGTGTGAGAGCTTTGGACAGCAATTCCTTAGTAATGAAGGGCTATTGATACTATTTTAGATACTCCCCACGGCCTCTTTTTAGTCAGCGGAGAGAACCTACAGAACCAACTCAAATTCCAAGCCCAGGTAGATGACAGATGCAGGCTTCCAGCTGGGAGAGCCCAGGCTCCTGCTGAGCCTGATGCTAAGGTGAATCATCTCACAAGGCAGGAGGCTGCAGTTGCCATTTGCTTTTCTTTTGGTTTTACATGATTAAAACGAATGCTAAATTAGATTTGTCTTTTTTTTTAATGGTGTCCTGGTTGCAAAGCTCCTTATGGTTATGCAGTTGTTGGGGCCATACTCGAGTAACCGGACTGAGAAGTTTTGTTTGGGGCATGGATGGCAAATATTTTGCCACAACCATGCTCTACTTGTTAGGTATGATTTTTATATAAATCCCTTTTCCTTCAAGCAGCAAACAGCTGTCTCTACAAATCTCTACTACTGAACAAGCTTGAAAAAGTCCTTTAAAGAAGTGAAAGCTTGGTTCCCCGTGCTCTAATATTAGTTTCTTTCTCTGCAGAGTAAGGATTTTCTCCCAGACACCCTGTCCAGACTGTCTTCCTTTGATCCTCTGAGTAATTCCTCTGTTTTTTTCCTTTCTATCTCTAAAACAGAGAGGCTGGGCGCTGGTGAGTCTGCAGGTCTCAGGACTGGTTTCACCAACAGTCCCAAAAAACAGAACTCAACAACATTTTAAAGTTTTTATGGATGTGTTTTGTTATAAAAACAAAACTTAAAACAATCTGTCCAGGCTGACAGATTCCAAATAAACTAGAGGCACTGTAACGCGTTGCATCCGCACCCCTTAAGGGTTTCCACCTTATACTTCTGAGAAAGCTCCATCAGAGTCTGTTAGAAAATAAGTTTACTTAACAGATCAAGATAGAACAATTGTTCAAAAAGAATTAAAATACAGGATAGTAGTGTTATGCCAAGGAGAAAGATATTTTTTTTTCTGTACTGAGAAGCCCTCAAATCAATTCAAAATACTTTGCAGTATTGAAGACACCATTAATTAATTATTAATTAAGCGTTCATCTTCTTAGCAGATGTATAAAGCAAAGCAAATTGTATTATATAACAATATTTTTGAAGTTCCTGTTAATGCACTATCAAGACAAGCATATCTGCAGTTATGGAAATACTAGTTTTATTGCTCTGACTTCTGTAGTCTAATAGAGACACTTTCATATGTTTACAGTTTCGTTGAAGCTCCTGTAGGAATGCAGAAGCATGGTATTTAAGTTTGGTATCATCTTGATAAATGTTTTGCCAAGCAATTAAAGCAAGTGTTGCTCAGAAGTCTGTGGTGTAATGTCTTCTAGCCAGAGAAAATGGACACAATCCCCTCACTTGGCTGAGAAGAGGGAGCAGAAAATTGGACTTCAGCTTTCTAAGCTCTTGTGTTTGTGGCTGTAAAAACGTGGAAACAGGGTCTGCCGTCTGCCCCGCGGGAGGCTGCAGGGACTGGTGCCGTTGGTTAGCCGAGGCGCACACACACCCCCAGCGCGTTGGAAGTTACTGGCACAGGGCTGAGTTGTGCAGCTGATGGCACACACACGCTCCCGAGCTCGCAAGGGAAAGGGCAAGGGGAAGGCTATGGCTTCAGCTGATCTGCTTCGCACACAAACCACACTACCAAGGCAGACGTTGGAGCAGTAATTTAAGACACTAAAGGAGCTGTAATTTAAGACAGTAACTTGGCTGCAGAGCACTGATTTTAGAGGTTTTTCTGAAGCCAACTGTACTGTAAAAAAAAGGGAGGCATTTTCTGCTAATTCCTTACTCCCCTCTGGTCCTCTCTCCTTCAAAACTACTAGAGTTGAAGGACTTCTTTACAAAATATCCGTATTATCTACCTTTCTCTGCAGAACACACTTGGAGTAAATTTACTTACGCTACCAGACTGTACTTGGACTCCTAAAGGCTTCTGGCAGGCAATTTTAGCTTGACAAGCCCACAAAGCAGTGGAGACCACTGGCAGCAGCACTCGGGTGGCCGGTCAGCGGCTGTCCAGGGCACTGCCTGCCAAGACCTATTCCTGGATTATGTGGCCACAACCTAGAAACACACAAACCGGAGTCAAAGGACTAGTGCAAACACAGGGGTCCAAATGGAAAGCACGGCGGTGAGGCAGCAGGGGGAAGTCTCCTCGTCAGGGAGCAGAAATCAAACCACTGGCTGAAGGGAAGGCTGCACGTAAGAACAAGCTGACATTGATTACAGCTGTTCAGCCAAAATCCTGTCCTAAACAGCGTTTTTCTGGTCATGTGAAAAATCAATCCCCAACACACTAATGTTTCGTCAGCGCGTTCTACCAGAAAATGTAAACAAAATTTAGATTTTTAACAAAATAACGTACATATTTTTCACTGACTCATTAGAAGCTCAAAGGCTTCTGTCTGTACAAACCCGAACTCTTTAGCAGCCTCACTGGTTGCCTGAGCCACATCCTTTACTGCAAAGCCTAATAAACATCATAGGAAGGGATGCTACAATGACTTTCAGAAAAAGAACTGGGGAATAAAAAACCAAGGGCATTCTTTCTTGTCAAGCAGCAGCTTTTTGCAAAGCAGCTTTGCTGAAGTATGTAGCTTTGAAGAGCCTTTGTTTGGCTGCAGCAGGAAGCATACTTCCTGCTCCAGAGTGGGGTCCTCCGACCCTCCTGTAGCCTGGAAAGGGAATATTGCACTGTCCTTGTCCCTTGTGCCAGCGGTGGCACTTACTGGACCTGGCTGTGCAGCCGCCCTGCTCACTAACTTGGCAAAATGCCTGCTTGGCCAGGGGAGGTGGCTTCCCAAGGGAACTGTCATAGCAGAGCGGGAGAGGGAAGGGTTCCTCAATCTCTTGAAACCGCAACCAGAGCTGCACGCAGCTACTGGATAGTCAGGTATCTATCTACTGGTTGGCTATTTACGTTGAGAAAATCCCAGACTCACCTTGGCATTTTTAAATTATATGGTAAAAAAAAAAAAAGAGATATACTGCAATTCACAGGAAGGTAAGAACAGTCGCAAGCTAACAATTAAAAGTAGAGTAATACGCCATCTGGAAAAACAGACCACAGCATTCATAGTATTTTCTCTTTGTCGTTCTACTCTACGTTGACTTTTAAATACTAACGTGAAGGTACTTCCTGATAAATTGGTAATAACCATTTCTGGGGCTGAAATCTCTCATTTTCCTCTTTTAAGTTTTATTCAGCAACAACTGAAAATCAACATCTAAATACAAAACGTTTTCTTAATGTTTTATCATGTTTATTTAGTTTGGGTTCATTTATTTATCCCAAATGCTTTTTTTAACCCCAAATGTTGGTAAAAATCCTTGGCACAGTAGACAAAGAGCTGTTACCAATACGAATGTTACCACTTAAGAGTTGCCACAATAGAAAGCGGGCAAAATAATCTGGAATATATTTTCTATTTCCCTGACATAACACTGCTGTTGTAATGTCTGGCACTTTTTGCTTTTCTCACAGCAGGTGCTACATCATCCATTCAGTTCTTTCAAGTCCTTTGTGTCTGAATGGTTTCCACACAGGAGGGTGACCAAACCCAGAAAAGGAAGGGGAAAAACAAACAAAAATTCTATTGTGGTAGATTCCACCTTCAAACATTACCAGGCTGTCAGCAAAGGCTGCCATTGTAACCACATTCTGGAAAAAATACTATGGTTGTTTGCAGCAGATGAAAGTCCAGCTGTCAACAAAACGAAAAATCAGGATTTTGCCAGCTTAAGTGTTCTTTGAAGTTCCTGAAGTTGCATGTTGCCTTGAGTAATCATCATCCTGATCGCATCCTGTAAAACAAAATGGAATCTACTGAACTGAATGTCTGTACACTGCATGGGTGTTACACAAGCACGCAGATTTTAACACATTAAAATAAATAAAATTCTTGCCAGCGCTGTTGTAACCTATTTCCTTGTGTGAAGTAACGCTATAGTCACTGAGACAGTTAAAAAACACGTAAATAAATGAATTCATTTCTCTAGTTCCTTAACGATGTATTTAGGGGCTGGTAATGGCTTTGCTTTAAAACTCAGTTTCGAACTGGAATCAAACTCTTGATAAAGCTTTCTTTACGCCTCCGAGCCCACCACCTTTGCAGGCAAGTAGTGACAACGGCACATGGGCGTTACGAAGACGGGTGTTTTACACAGCGAGTGGATGATTCTCTCACCATTATTTTTACCCAAGTGCTGTAATGCTTTGTCCGCATAATTCAGCCGACACCTTGAGCACTGACTAGAAAAAGGAACCAACTAGAAAGCAGCGGACAGGAGACATACAGGAAACATGAAGGTTTCTGCATGTCATACGTGCTTCACATTCACAATCATCCAGTTTGATGGTGTTCGGCTTGAATATAGTTGAAATTAAACATGAAAAAAAAAAAGCTATGGAAAACTTGACCCTTTAATTAGTTTATGTTAGTTATGTTATTCAATACGATTTTTCTGATTTGTTGTTTAAGCAGGATTTCTTAGTTTTTTACATTTTAAATTCCAGATTATTATCTGGCAATTGGAGAAACATTGCTACTGCCAACGGGGGAGGTGGTGGGGGGTGGTAATATTTAGAGATGCTTAATTATTTCTTCACATAAATGCTCCTTAAGAGAAAACAATAACGGGAGACTTCTCACCGGTCTATGAGTGACACCTGAAAAACCAAACCCACGGGACAACGTCCAGGACAGTGCGCTGATCACTCCAAGGGCACACAGTCAGGGCTGTGGGTTCCCAATCCTCACCTCCTCTGTAGCATCCTTATTCCTCCTGAATTCCTCCCTGGCCCAGTCCTTTAAATAGCGGCGATCTGCTTCAGCAGGGACCTCACGAATGGCGCGCAGGATCTTCCTGTATAACTGAAGAACCTGCTGCCTCCTCAGGAACTGGGAAGGAGAGAGGGAAGTCTGTCTGCTGTCCCAGGACACTGCTGCGAGCTGTGCCCTCCGCGGCTTTGTTTGCTTTGAGGGACATTTAAACAAATTCCCCATCGTCTCTTCTGAAAGATGTAGTAGCGCCTAAGATCCCACTCCAAGAAACTTTTATTTCAGGTAAAGGAACATTCCGAACGTGGAATACGTTACGGTGCCTAAGACTATTTGTAGGCACAAAATGCAGCATGACAGAGCCTAGTGGCAGCTCGCCCTCCCGGCCATCCC